TGACGTACGTATCGATGATACGCAGCGTCAGCGCCTGCTCGTCTATAACGTCAGCGCCCGCACGTCATACTATATATATACTATTTATATATACTCTACTCAATTAAGCTAATTTAGGTATCTAATTGCTAGTTTTTATGATTGTATCTGAAATTGTTAGGCAAAAATAGCCTGCATGCCGAATTTCAGATCTCTAGAGCAATCAGAAGTGGGCTAATTTTCGTTGTCAATGTTAACAACAAATAAACAAACGTGAAGCTAAGCTAAGAAAAACGTGTTAAAATACCTTATTGTTGATTACTAAAGAATTTTTCAATTTTCCATATACCTTGAGCCAATTTTTCTCTAAATTTGTGATCCCGAATTTAAATAATCATGAGTGAAAAATGCCATTCACTGCTCCCACAGTTATTCTCCGTGGAGGATCTCGACAAATCCTACGAAGGATATCTTCGTCGGGCGTTCACATTTTTTACAGAGAGGTTCGACAACGTCATTTTTGTCGTCACGTCGGATGACGTCGTCGCCACAACTAAAATGACGAAAAAACTTACTTTTCCTAACACTTTTGTGTCGCAAGGTGAGAGGGAAGTCGCATCAGCTTATCTTCGAGAGGAAGTAATGCATCATGCACAATTTTGTTTTTGAATTTGAATTTTTATTGATTCCGAAGATAAATATCGTTTACAAACAATCACTCCAGTATATTGTCCGGTATCAATTCACTTGACCTGATAGAGATTGAGGACGAGTCAACATCTGGTAGACACGCGAAACTTACATAACCCCCAATACCTACATTAGGGTGCCAACAATACCGTTATGTTATATAATGTTTTAGATTTTAGATAATTGATGTTATATTATATATCATTAACGGTAGAAATAAGAATACAACTTTCCATGCTCTCAGCCCATAAAAGTTTTCTTTTTAACCATAGTATAAAGCAAAAAATTTTGAGCGAAAAGTTTCATTATTTACGGATTGGAAAAAGCATCGTTTTTTTTTTGTAAATGATACCGTGTAGGTAGTTTTTATGACAATGTCTAATTTACATTTGTCGAATGATGCAAGTCTGTCGATTTTCCCTCATTCACTGTAAATTAGCTGTTGCTTTACATTTTATTTACTGGTAATGTGTTTCAGAAGGTTACTTTCTACGAGATTATTTGTTCCCAAGATTCCTAGCGAAGCTGGTGAAGTATTTTCTGTTATCCAGCAAATTGATGGCTGGCAACTCAAAAACAGAATCCAGCTGATGTGTTTTGGCTGCTATAGCACCACAGGCACAAAAGCTTACTAAATACCATAAATATGCTGTATTAGCCGTCTATTAGTTTAGGATACATCCATTATGGCCATGAACTAATTATACATACAACTGTTTTCAATTATCAATTGTATATGTACATAACATACACCCTAACTTACATATATCTATTCAACTTACATATATTCACACAACACCCAGCACCTACACAACCCCACTTGCAACACCCACAACAACACCCCTATTACCTACACAACCCCACAACACCTACGCAACCTATAATACATACACAACCTCTATTAATCCTGCCTCTGATCTCCCCATAGGGTCGGCGGCGGAGGACATGCATTTGTTGACCCTCTGCAACCACACCATCATCACGTTTGGGTCATACGGGTTCTGGGCAGGGTTTCTGGGCCGGGGCTGGACCGCGTACCCAGACCTGAATTATACAGGGGCTACTTATATCACGTCCCGGCATTTCTATGAGGCTGCTTATCTCGACGATTTTGTGCCCATCTTGTATAGGTGACAATATTCATATGATGAATATTATAATGATTAATGAGACCATTCATCTTGTTTTGCCTTCTCATTATGGTGACAATGTAACTTATTGGTTAATGGGACTATTCATTTCATTGTGCCTTCTCATTAAGATGACGATGTTACTTATAGATTAATTGGACCATTCATCTCGTTGTGCCTTCTTATTAAGATGACGATGTTACCTAAAGGTTAATGGGACCATCAATCTCATTAATTGTGCCTCCTCATAAAGGTGACGATGTAACTTGTTGATTAATGGGACAATTCATTTCGTTATGTCTGCACTGAGTTTTTAAATATCCACGAGTGTCCATATCTTGTTCTGACATACACGGTATACCTGTATAATGAGCGATAGTAAATTGTACTTATGTACGCTCCTTGTTTTAAATATTTTACATTTACATTTTTATAACGTTACATTTTATGAATGAATGTATTCCATGATTGAAATGTCATACATGTTTCAGGCATGAATCATAAAAATGGTTTTGTACGGTAGGATTCATGTAAAATATGTGAGAATTATAAGTGTAGGTGGGAGTCAGACGAAATATGTGAGTCAGGTAAAATAAGTGAGTAATGTAAGACAAGCTTCGGATCACCGACATGTGGAACTGCTACTAAATTGTTGACTCTCCGATTACAAAGGTGTTCGAGAACAGACTAGATAAAACCATGGAGAAATATATGTTCAGACTTGAAATGCCTAGCACCATATCGAACCCGGTGGAAGTCTAGTAGCTATTTCAAACTATCGTCAGTTTGGAAAAGATTCGGTCGAAGGACCTATTTTTAGATCTCCTGTGGACAAGGCACGAAAAGTACAAGAATCGGTGACGGGCCACATCAGGCCTACACTTCAGCGCCGAGATCAATATGCTATGTTATGCCAAGTGAATCACTCAAATTCGAATGATGCAATATTCCTGAGGATGAACGCTCCTTTATTTGCAAACTAATTTCAGTTAGACTCGTTGATTATAATTCGGAAGACGTTTCATTATATTATAGTCTGACAATTGTGCTCCAACAATAAGTGAGTTCGGCCAAG